GGTGGTGCTGGTGGTGGTGTGGTGGTGGTGTGGTGGCGGTGCTGGTGGTGAAGGCAGCACACTAAGCGGACAAGCAGCAAAAGTGCAACACAGAAAAACCCGAACCCCGCAACCACAGGAACAAATCCTCAGGAACAAGCTTAGCGGCTTAGCACTCCAAGCTCCGGGCACGGCAAAGACGATGAAGAAATCACCTCAGGTAGGCAAGCAAGAAGCCAAAGTGCACGGCAAAGGGTTAGGGGAGGCAAAGGGGAAAGGGACGCACAAGCACTAGCATGCAGGGAACTTGATAGGCACTCCTACTCGGGGTCCGAAGGGGCTAGGAAGGAACCCTGAAAACCTAAGGGTAGGGCGAGGGAAACCCAAAGCCCCAAGGGAAAAGAAACCCCACCCCCGCGGCTCACATTTAGCCTGCTGCACATCGCCCTTCATTGGAAATGTGCAGATGGTGAAGGCCAGGTCACCACGGAACCATCATCAAGGATGCAAGCAAAGCCGTTCCTTCCCCCGTACACATGGGTACAGGTAGAGTCTGCCAGCAGTCTTTGTATCTCTTGATTCGGGAGCACAAAAACGAATCCCCATACTGAGACGGATCCATCAGCCAGGAGTGCAGCAAAACCGTGGCGTGAACCTGTGATCGAGACGACCTGTGTCATGGTTTCAAAGTCACTCATGTCGATGCAATAAGGCGAGGTTTCACGATTATCGCCCCAGGACACGACGGATTTATTGCGCAACAAGGCTGCAAAGGCTCTGCTTGTGGCCTGGATCTGCTGCACGCCCACCAGCTGGGCCTGAACTGCACGACTGTCACCGCCAAAATGACCATTGCCCCAGGTCACCACAGAGCCATCGGCGAGGATCGCAGCGAAAGCTTCTTCAGTGGCTTGGATCTGGCGGACACTTTGCAATTGAGCTTGCACAGCACTGCTGTCGCCGCCGCCGTCAGCATGGCCCCAGGTAACACAGGTGCCATCGCCCAGGATAGCAGCAAATGCATAACGACTGGCTTGAATCTGCTGCACATTTCTCGCATGCACTGCACTGCTGTTGCCACCATACTGTGGATCGCCCCAGGTCACTACGGATCCATCATCGAGGATGTCAGCAAAGGCCTGAGAACTGGCTTGAATCTGCTGCACATGGAGAAGCTGTGCACGCACAGAGCTGCTGTCGCCGCCATAATTAGCACGCCCCCAGGTCACAACAGATCCATCAGCAAGGATTGCAGCAAAAGCAGCTTCAGTGGCCTGAATCTGTTGCACATGCACCAGCTGATCGTGCACGGCTCTACAGTCGCCGCCTAAGTCTGGACTGCCCCACACTACCACAGATCCGTTCCCGAGGATGGCTGCAAAGGCACCGTCAGTGGCCTGAATCTGTTGCACATGCACCAGCTGATCTTGCACACCTTCACAGAGGCCACCATAAAAAGGATTCCCCCAGGCGGCCACGGATCCATTCCCGAGGATAGCTGCAAAAGCAGACCTTGTGGCTTGAATATAATGTACATGCCCAAGCTGATCTGAAACTGCCGTGCTGTCGCCACCATAATTAGCATCGCCCCAGGTCATACAGGATCCATCGCGAAATATGGCAGCAAACGCATAGTCATTTGACTGTATGCCCATAGGGCATCTGACAAAATGACCCTCCACCAGCCTCCCCCTCCCCCTCGGCTCCACCACCTCCCCACTCAGCGAATGAACGGGGTCGGCCATGGCAGGGGTTAGAGGTTAAGGTTTAGGGGCCTAAAGGTTAGAGATTAAGGTTTAGAGGCTTAGAGGTTAGAGCTTAAGGTTTAGGTGCTTATAGGTTAGAGAACTAAGCTTTAGGAGCTTATTGGCTAATTGAACGAAAATCTAGATACTGGTGGCTAACTGGGAAAACCTGAATGCCAACACCCGAGTTTAAAGCATACACCCTCAACCACCCAAAAATGTGTGGCCTAAGCCTAAACCCGAGTTTAAAGCGTACATCCTCAATCCCCCAAAATATGTATGGCCTAAGCCTAAATAAAAATATAGCCTAAACCTAAACGCAGCTTCTGAAAAGGCTTCAAGCACAAACTGAAGGACCCAGGCCCTAACCTTGAACGCTAAACCCTCCTGACAGCCCAGCTTCCTCAAACCTCCTAAGCCCTACCACAATAGCCTTTCACTGCATGCTGGGTTCCCAGGCGTCCTGCTGCAGGAGGAGCTCCCTTCAGCTGTGCCTGCATTTCGGGCCGATCAGAAATCTGGGCTTGAATCTGTCTCTTTGTACTTTTTCCAGCCCCAGTATGCCTGCGTGTGACGACACACAGCATGCGCCCCATATCCTCACATCTTCTTGCAAAGCATGACTTGCCCCTAAAGCTTCTTCTCCCAAACCCTCAACCCTAAACCTTTTATCCTAACACTGCATTGCCTCCATGAAATTGGGATTGTGGAGGATGGTGGGCCTTTAGTGGGGCTAAAGGTGGGGTTCCGGATGATGATCGAATTGGGCCGGGGGCTTTTCAGCCCACCAGACGTCCCTAGATACAGGTTTAGGCTTTCGGATGGCTCAGGGTTTTGGGTCGGGCCGGGGGCTTTTCAGCCCACCAGACGCCCAGAGTGTTTAGTTAGGGTTTGGGGCTTAGGGCTTAGGGTCTCCAGACCTGGGAAGCTAATAAGTGAAATACACATAAACTATCTAAAAACCCTCATATATCTCCACAAGATACCATATTCGGGATTTGGGGTCTTACAACTGGTGCCTGCTGCCTCAATATTCCTCAGACGGCAGGCACGCTCTGGGAATATTGGATGCGGCGGACTGGGATGAATGGCCGTCGAAGGCAAGAAAGCAGTTCCCCAACCAGAGGAGGGCGCAGGGCTTCTGGACGGTGATGAGGCGTTCTATGCCGCGCATGCACGAACAACGGCTGAAAAGCGAGGTTAGCAACGCTGACCCTCATGATGTCTTGGCTTTCGTCAAACCTTTCTTAAGTGGCCATGGGCTTTCCACGTTGAGGAGATAGGGAGTGTACCCGACCGAGTAATTCTGGGCCTGAGGCTCGGCTTCTGAATAGCAGCCAGTCCTGATCGAAGCCTTGTAGGTGCTGCGAAACAAGACGTTTGCATTGCAGCGCTCAATACGGGGAGAGGGGTCAAATCCAAACGCAAGAAAGGGTCAAATCTAAACACCAAAAGGGGTCAAAGGCACACACGTTTCTGTCAGTGCAGTACTATTTACAGGGGGTTTGTTTGGCTTCCATGGTCTCCTTGGTTTCTATGGCTTCTATGGTTTCTATGGCTTGCAGCTCTGGTGCAGATTTAGCGACATATGCAATACGGAGCTGTGATTGCTCCTTCTCGGCTTCCTCCAGGTCGTCTTTGAGATCCTCCTGACAATGAAATATAAGTTGCTCTGATTCTGAAACATCAAATCAAAGGTCGGGCCTTCCTGTCTTCCAACCTCCTGATCGTCCTCTCTTGCTGGCTTTCAAGACGTGCAAAGTCCTGCTCGAGGCTCTGTGAAGTCGGTCCTACCTACCTCTCTCTCTTTCTCTTTCTTTCTCTCTCTTTCTCCCTTCATCCCTGCCTCCTGTGGGGCAACGCACTCCAATCATCCATCGTGAGATTGAACAACTTTGGCGAGGTGGCACCATTCACGTTCCACAGGGCTGGGCTGATGCTTATCTTTTCCTATTACACAAACCGGGTACTACAGGAAAAGAACTAAAGCACTGGCGCCCGATCGGACTTCAGTGAAGAACCATGGCCTCGCTTCGAGAAAGAACTCGATCATCTAAACATGACCTTCCGGGATACGTCCAACGAAACACTTGACATGCATCCCTCGTGTTCATCATGTACTCAGCTAAGTGGATCGCATGCTTGAACATCTTCATCGTCGGACGGCTCATCGCCCTTGCGAGATGTGCAATGGCCCATTGGCAATCGGGACGGTCTGGTGAAAGGTAAAGGAAACCGCCCACGGCCCCACGATACCTTCCCGCCATCTCCTCATCACACACCTCCGATTCATCAGGCTGGGTGATCTCAGCTGAACATGGGGTTCTCCTAGTTCTAGGCCTCTTGATGTCAAGGATGCCGAAGATCTTCTCCAAGTAATGTGCACTCACCTTGACCTCAATCCCGACATCGGTTATCACAAACTCCTTCTTTAGGAACTTGACTGCATCACATACATTGAATGCAACATCTGAAACCTGAAGCTTGTACTTGCGCTCGAGAAGGGTTCTCACCTTCTCCAGGTAGTACTCTTCTCCTCCCAAGAGACCATCATCGACATGAACCATCACCCCAAGACCTTCAACCCCAAACGCAGACGGACAAGCCGCATCTGGGAGCAATCCGGTCTCCTTCAAATCCTCCGTCAACTGTTCCGACCACCATGCAGCCGCTGGCTGCTGTCCTGGCAAACACCGAAGCACCCTGAATGGAGCCCCATCAAGAAGAACATAAAGCTCATCACGCTGCTTCACCGTGAGGAAAGCGTCCTTCACGTCGAATGATTGAAGCTTCCATGAGCTCCTGGTTGCCATCAGTGCTGGAAGAAGTTTTGATGATGATGGGCTGGTACTTGGAGCGTAAACGTCACTTCTATTTGGGTCCCACACCTTCAGCTGCTTGCAAACCAACCGCGCTCTTCGCTGCCACTGACCTTCACGAAAGCGCCAGTCTATGACATGTTTTGTCTTAAGCAACTCCGCTCCTGGGGGCAGAGCTTCAACCTGCTCCAACACCCCCATTTCAACCAATCGCTTCACTTCATGGGCCTGGGAGGCCACATCCACTTGTTCGAGCTCCTCCTGGCTCAAATCCGGAGGTCCGTCTTTCTCACCCCGTCCATGCCACGATTCCCCATGGTCCTCGAACTCAACATCTTCGAAGTAAGCATCCATTTCCTCGTCGACAGGGAAATCAAGATCTAAGTGCTCGTCCAACACATACAACTCTTCGCCTTCCGCTGTCGCGGCCGAAATCTTTGAACTCTTTCCACCTGAACTTGCATCTGGCAATGGAGGTGCTTCACGTTTCTCGCCCCGGTTGTCCCAACCTCCATATCACCACGCTGGCTTCCTTCACCTTCAGCCTCTTTCATGCCTGCCGACACAGACCCAGAGCTATGATGAGATGAAGCCCCTCCTGAGTCCGCATCCGACGGGAAGTAAGACCGAAGGCTCGACCTGCTCGAGGAAGCAGCATGCTGAGAAGATCGCGGGGACGACAACGGGTCCGAACCTGCTTCATCTCCCGGTGACTCCGGCTTCTTCTTCTCAGGAGCTGGCAATGGGTAAGGCCCAGGCACTGCTTCAATCGCCTCTGGCTTCCGATTCTCCTTCATGCCCGGGATCACAACTTTGCCAAAGGTGCTCAATGCAAACTTGTACGGTTTCCCGCTGAACTCCTTGATCATGTGCTTGCTGCACTGCTGATCTGGAGCCATCCTTCTAATTGTTGTAGATGCCCAGCGCCGTACCACACACATTCAAGTCGTTATTCAATGTCTTCCCCAACCACACGCCTTTCACAAACTTCGGCTTCCCTTTTCGGACATGGTTCTGATTCAAGGCAAAGAAGACTGCCTCACCGAAGCATGCAAGTTTAGGGTTTACGGTTCAGGATTAAGGGCCCGGGCGCCGGGAGCGGCACGATGCTAGATGTCGAAGTCAAAGATAGTGCAGACCTGGCCACAAGAGTGAGAGTCCCGGGGTTTCCGGCGACAAAAGGCAGGGACGCAAGGCACTCTAGTTACGGGAGTGGGAGTGGGGAGGGTGGGGTAGCAGAAGCGAGACACTCCTGCACGTGCATGGACACTCAAACTCATCCCCAAAGCCCGAAAACAACACCCGAAAGGTGCTGAGGATCGCACGTGGCCGTGGAAGAAGTAAAAAAGAGACGAAGGTCCGGACCGGTCCGGAGGGTGGGTTGAAGGTTGCAGGGCCCTCTAGCTTACGGGCGGGAAAGCAGCGCAGGGCCCTCCTGTGCGCACTCCGACACTCAGAAACTCACAAAGGAACTCCCAAACCAAACCCCAACGTCAACGCCCGAAAAAAAAACCCTCTGAGGATCAGTGCGGCAACGAAGAAGGTCCAGTCCAAACCTGGGAACAAAAAGTCTCGGGAGAGGGAAGGGTGGGGGACGCAAGCCCTCCGGAGCAAAGGGGGTGGGGAAACTCGCACACCGATGCGCACTCAGTTGCAGGGCAAAAAGGGCCAGCCTCACAGCGGGGCCGAACGGGGTTGAGGTGCCCTGAACACTTAAAGGTTTGGGAGGACCAAGCTTAGGGGAGGGGCCATGGGGAATGTGGAACCAGGAAAACCCAAGCAGCGCTCAGCGCACTTTTCAAAGTCGTCTAGGCGCAAAGCTTGCTGGTGTCACGAGAGCTTCAGGACTAGTCCCCGCATGCGATGGGGCCTTGGGGGTATAGGATAGAACAAAATAGAACAAACACTCTTGGGCAATCCCGGGGAACAGTACTGGTAATTATGAGCCCCGTTGGGGAACCCCCCTCCTGAAAATCCTGAGTGGAAGTCGGAAGTAAGCCTAACCCCTAAGCCCTAATCCCTAAACCCTAACCGTTCCTAACACCCTGAACCCCAAACACGCGGTCTCCTCGATTTATTTCGCTTGAGATCCATTCCTTGCGCCGGGCCAAGTTTGTAAAACTAGTGCCGTCAGAATGCAACTAATTACGAAAGTTTAGGGTTTAGGGTTTAGGACGAAAAATTACGAGGGACAGGATGCACACACAAGAATCTGCAACCCCAACCCTGTCGCCCAAAGGACTTAGAGTAGAAGCTTTGTCACCCTTAGTGAGCCTGCTGACCCTAAAGTGGGTTTAGGGTTTAGGAAGTTTGGCCTGTCTTGTGAGCCTTTCGAGCGCCTAGAGCTGACTAGCATCCAAAGTATCAGAGCGATCCCCCAAGGCACTACTCTCAAGTTTTTACTGTTCATGGCCCCTATACTACTAAACCACCGTAAAATTCCTAAACCCTAAACCCTAAACTCGAAATACTCCGAATAGCAACCCCTTAGAGACTGTTTTGGAAGGTCATCCCCACGCAAGCACCTCTTTTAGGGTCTTGGAGTATTTAGGTTAAGGGTTCCGTGTTTAGCGTTGAGAGCTTAGGGTATATTATTGCGGCATGACAACTATACTTCGGACCTCAAAATTGGGATTCGGATGCGCTTCCCCAGACGGTTCTCCATCCTGAATCTCTGTATTCTGCTCTCTCATTCATGAGCAGTTCTCACTTCCTCTACACGGCTCTCGAACACCACGGGCCCGAAGCCAGACTTGGGATTTGAAAGATGGTCCAGGGTAAAAGCTTCATGGGCGTGGACCTTTTGCAGAGCGAGGGTTGGGGGCTCAGGGCGCTGGGAGAACTTGCAGCTTGGATACCAGCAGAATCGTCCTTCACAAACCGAATCTCGTTGGACCTCCACATGTTCACACCATGATTCTCAAGATCCGGCTGGACCAGAATACAAAAACGACGACGAAGACGATACTGGTGATGGTGATGATGAGGAGCAGGAGGACAACGATTATGACGGCAAAAGGCAAAATGAGAGTCATGCTGCCGCTGATGAAGGTGATGGTGATGATGACGATGAAGAGGAAGACTATTGTGTGACGACGAATGATGATGATGATGATGACGATGATGATGATGATGACGGTCATGGTGATGGTGGTGATGATGAACGGTGATGGGGATCATGACGACGACAGCAGCGCTGGTCGCCATGGTGATGCAAATGCTACCGCCTCTGCTGCTGCGCCTGAATAAGGTGATGATGGCGGTGATGGTTGCAGTGATGATTGTTGCCATAATGGTGTTGATGATGGTGCTGGTGGTGAGCAGCTGGGATGATGCAGAGCAGGACATCGACGACTCTTGCGTCCTACAGTCCATGTCTAGCAACACCGACAAACATTGCATAGGAGATGGTATACACATTAACAATTCAGAACAACAACCACGTGGTTGGCAGGTGCTGCTGCTGCTGCTGCTGCTGCTGCTGCTGCAGCAGCAATCCAGAGAGACATGCTTCGAACTGCGAGCCATGTTCAATTCTCACACATGCTGCGGCTCATCTTCATACTCTCAGCTGCTATGACAGTTCTGTATGAGCTACATGTAGTGTGCTACTCATACCGCTTGTTAATGATTATGGCGACCAGTTGCCCTGTTCGCGCAAGTACCGTCACCACGAAACAGCCGACGCACATGGCTTACCGGGCAGAAGCACCCTGCACTGACTGGACAAGCCTGCTTGCGAATACGTCTGGGACATGTCGTGTACAAACGTCCCCACATCCCTGAACCACGACGGGGATCATGCCGAAAACTCATTAATTCAGCATCGGTAGAGTTTGTGAAGGATGATTGAAGTCTGTTTCTCCGGCAGTGCACTGGCCGAATTCCAGGATTCTCTGCTCCGTGGAGATAGTAGTAAGACTGAGGGGTTCGGCTTTAGTAAGAATGGTTGTTGAATTCCAATTCTGGGTTGAATAGAACAGTTTCCGAAATGGAAGTCTGCAGGGCTGAGGGAATTGGCTGGGTGTTTTGGGCGAGACCTGTGTGAGACATTTCGGAACTCGTGTGTTTGCTACAAAGACTTTTCGGGAAGACGTTTAGGACCATTTCACGAAGCCAGACTGCCAGATGAGTAGGTAGGGTCAGAGATTATGGGTTTAGGGTTTAGGGTCAGAGATTTTGGGTTTAGGGGTGTTGCTCCTGCTGCTGGTGCTCCTGCTGCACTTGGAAGCCGTCATGCTGCCGCCGCCACTGCGCAAGTACTTCTATTTGCATGACTGAACTATACCGAGATGCTGCCCACTCGCACATCAACAGCCTCCGCCTAAACCCTGAACCCTAAACCCCTAAACCCTATAAGCCCTATACACCCCGAAACCCTGAACTCCATGCCCTATCCGAGACCCGGGCCCATGAGCATGGACAACATGCGACTCGCTGGACTTTACGGCGGACTTCTCGGGGAGGTTCACCAAAGTTGCGAACCTCATGGGGTTCTGCTTCTTTAAGGGTAGGGCCTCGCATAGGGTTTAAGCTTCAGGGTTGAGTTTGAGTTGAGGGTTAAGGGCAGGGGCGTGTGTTGCTATTCAAGCGCAGCGGCCCCTTGCTCCGCCCTTCCGGGTTGGACATCCAGCGCGTGACTTCAGGGTTTGGGGTTTTCAGGGCAGGAGCCCTTGGGTTCTCAGAATTTCAACTGCCAGGTTCTTGGCTTCAGGTCCGCCCAGACAAGCCCCGTTAAGCCCTGCTCCATCCTCGGCTCATCTACCGTTGATATAGGGCCCTTAATAGTTAGAATAGGGTTTGGGGTGGGGTATATTATAGTAATTTTTTATAGTATAGTTATAATAAAGAAGCCCCCAAAACCAATTACGTTCAGAAAGTCCGCAGCACTGAAGGAACAGAGCTCAACCTCCCAAGCCAAAGCAACCCCCGGAACACCAAGCCCCGCCCGAAGACGAATGAAACCCGAATCCCGAAGCCCTAAGAGCCCTAAACTTGAAGCCCTACACCCCAAATGCCCCAAACCCTAAATCCCAAGACCTAAGCCCTAAACCATCATCCCAAAGCACTGGAACCTAATACCACTGCTCTACAACCTAACAAGCTCCTCTGAGTCCCTCGGCTGCTGCAGCCCTACACTCGCCGAGAACATCTTGATCAGCGAGGAGATGACCTTCTCCAGGTACTTGCCTTGTTGTTTAGGGTTTCGGGTTCAGGGGTGTAGGACTCAAGGCTTAATTAGGGGGTGTTTAGTCGGCTTTATCTGAGTTTAGGGGCTTGCGTCTTGCGGTCCGGGCTGAGGGGCTAAGGATTTGTTGGGGTTTACGGGCTCAAGGTTCAAAAGATGGGGCGTTTGGGTTCATCAGGAGAGCTGCTTTGACGGGTTTTGAACTTTAAGCAGTTCGAGCGAGGCTGAGGGCGAAAGGCGGTTGCGTACTCCTACTGCTACTGCTTCTATTATTGCTACTGCTGCGACTGCTACTACTGCTAATAGTAATGATGATAATACTACTTTAAATAATAACACTTGAAAATATAACAACTTAAAAATAGTAATAGTTAGGACTAATAAGCATACGACGACTCGGACGCCGATGCCGACGGCGACGACGACGACTACGACGACGAATCCTACTCTCGATTCTACGGATATAGCACTACTATTCAAGGTCTTAGTTGCTTTCCGAGTATGGCTCGTCCGGTTCATCACATTGGTGGCGATATACACTCTCTTACCTAGTGTTGTTACCTCCATCAAACCGTGTACTAGCTGTCCTCATCGTACTGTCAAAACATTTACTGCTGTTATGGGAACGCCTGATTATGGGCTGACTATAGGCTTTGAGGGCCGGCTGATACGAGTACGACCAAATGCTAACACGCGAATACCTTCAGCTCGCCTATTTCCCACGGCAAGATTGATTGCAGGACCTAGGAGACGTTGTCAACGATCACCGCACATTGTCGCTAAGTCCCCCTGCAGGCCCTAAGCCCAACATCCCAAGAACTAAAGCCGCAATTTTGCACTTTCGGGGCAGGGGATACTCGGGATGAAAGCTGTCTTACTTCCTCTTTCTGAGCCTCGCACAAACTATACCCCCAGCACTCCACACGAGAACCCTAAACCCTACACCCGAAGCACTCTAGAAGCGACCCGGAGTTGCAAAGCTGTCAATCAATCAAAGCTTTGAATTGCCAACATCCCCGATGTAGACACAAAACACCGCCCCAAACCCTAAGCCCTGCCTGTTCTGGGTTTCGGCACCCTCAAAGCCCTTAACTGAAAGGCCTAAAGAGTTCTGCGAAGCCGCCGCAGCTAGCGAAGACTTTCCTGGCAAGTTTTTCAGAAGCGCTTTGGATGCTTTAGGCGGTTTGAACCAGACACCTCATGATGAGGTCCGTTCGGCATGATTGTTTCTTAGGTTTCAGCTCCGAGGCCACTGTGCACCCCCCCAAGCAGCTCCACATTTCGAAATGCACTCACCGATGCTATCCGGCTACTATTACTATGCACATGCCTTCATGAAGTCCTGCTCGTACAGTGGCGAAAGAGCGAACCAAACAACAGGAACGAACGAAGGAAGGAAGGAACGAATTGAACGAACGAAGGAAGGAACGAACGAGCGAACGAACGAACACATAAATACACATTCCAGCATGTTTGTATGAAGGTAAGTATGCACATGGGCAATTGATCCTTGCGGCGCCCTGAGCCCAGCTCCACAGCTACAGCCCAGAACTCCAGAACTTGAAACCCTATAGGGTTTAATTCAAGGTTTATAGGGCTTTTGGTCCAAACCTTGACCCCCCAAAAAAAGTAATAGCACAGAGAACCCGAACCCCCAAGGGCAAAGGCTAAAAGGGCAAAGGCTAAACCGCATGTAACATAGGGTGGGAATGAAGGCAAGGCACAGCTGGAAGACGAAGTCGCCAGATTGGAAGACGTCCGAGCCTTCCCAGTCCCAGGCGTTTGGGCTCAAGGCTTTGCGAACTGCTTAGATTGTCATGACTTCCTTAGGAGCCCTCCGGAACTCTTCCTAATCTGCTGTGCAAGCCTCATGACATGTGATCTCAGAAAATTGGTCCTGCACGTTAGTTTCATACCCAGGGCCGCGACCCCGGCACGAAATGCTTTGCAGCGGTCCTGCCCGTCGACTCTTCAGCAGCGCCGCTGTGCCCAGGATCAAGATGAGGACGCGTATAAGGTGTGTGATCCACTTGGTGAACCTGAGGCAACTCACCATGCTGCCTGCCGTGTTGCGGCTTCGGTTAAACACGGAAACGTGATCAAGAGGAACGAAATGAAACCCAAAGTAGGCAGATCTGAAAGCTCTTGTACACAGGAGCATCCGGTGCACACCGTAACCCAGATCGCGACTTGACTTACAGACCCGGCCCTAACCTGTGCGAGCCTGGAGCACGACACGTCAGAATGGAGGATGGTGATGACGATCGTGATTTGGGTGCGTGATATGGTGACTGACGGTGCTGACGCGGCCATCATGCGGTGATTGATCATGCTCTTCAAGCTCGTGCTCGTAGTGACAATAGTGACAACTACACTCTATATGCAATCATTGCGATTCTGCTGACCCACTGACGCAGATGTGGTATAGAGGCGATGATGACCGTGGGCATGAGCAGCATCTTCAACTGCATGCTGATGTTCAACACACCCGGGACACCAGTGCGCGGGGCCAGCGTGGGTTCGTGTTCAGCCTAGCAGGGCCTAGCATCATCTTGCAATTCAAGCCAAACCCTACAAGGAACATCACTCCTGATCAGTCCAGCCGTGCTGCCAGATGGTGTCGTTGCTCCAGTCACGCGCTTTGATGTGGAAGGTTTGGAAGAACCGGCTTTCCGCGGTGAAGCGCATGTCCAGCCTACGTGTGAAAGCCGGAAACGTCGCGTTCGCAGTCTGATGCTCTTCGACTTGGACTTCTTACGAGTAAAGCTGTCTCTGACCAAGACACCAGAACACCTTAGCCTTAGTTACAGGCAGAAGGGCATTAGGACGCTTCGCTAACCATGGTAGCGGAAAATCACGGCTCCAATTGCTTTGGTTTGGGTCGGAAGGTTTGAGATGTGACAGGTGTTCTTTCCGGATTTCGTTTTGGGCATCAAGCGGCCCACTCTCTGACTAGGGGTACTACAAACAAACATCCGATTATACAATTTATATCAATTTATGGGGTTTCAATCAGTGTAGGGCTTGGAATTCAGGATTTAGGTTTAGGGTGCAGCGGAGAAGCTTGACACTCTCAATTTTTCAGTGTCCAGCATCTTCGCACACCGATTCCACGCATAGCGTGGCTCAACCATTTTCGGCTGTGTTTGGGCTGTAGGCCGGAGCTTCTTAAACCTTCTCAATCACACGTCATCCTCCAACCCCCGGCAGAGGGTTGACAGACTAGCAAAAACCTCTACGCGGACATACATTCGTGTGTAAATGCAGCACTGGCCCCACCTTCAAACCCTTGGAGTCAAATTGTCAGACCCAAACGCCCATCATGCATGCACCGCAGGCATCACCAAAACTCGCACGGAATCTCAGGAGGGGGCTTAGAATGAGTGCGCGTAGCAAGGCTCCGCATGGAGGCCCCTGCATGGCAAAGCCAGGACAGGGTGTCCACCCAGGCCGCCTGAATCGAGACGAATCTGGTTTGGTGGAGTACTGACAAGGTTACAAGGGCTACCAGGATGCAGTCATGGTGGTGGCAGTGGCCATGGCAGTGGCAGTGGGAGTGGTAGGGGCAGGGGGTTGGGGGCAACGGTAGGGGTAGGGGTAGTACAGTAGTGGGACAACGTCTCTGTAATGGTACAGGGAAGTGATGCAGGACTATTGCTCCTTGATGGTATTTTGTCTTCAAGTAATAATCTAAAACCAGGTACCCTAATAGGGTCCCCAATAGCGGGTATGTAGGGCCGGATGTAAACGGAGGGTCCAGGAAGGTTGGTTTGAAGAATGACCGCGGAATTATTGCGGAAGATCTTCGGGTTTATACAACATATATCATATACGACTCATCTTGGATGTTATCTATGAAAATATTCTGCATATTTAGGCTTGCATATCAGCGCCTGCTTGGGGTTTGGCATTCTGGGGCCCGACTGTTTAGCGAAACTCCTGTCGGCGATAGGGGGCCTTAAGAACTAAACATGGGGCCTTGCCAGCATGTTCTCAACAAGTCGGGGCAAAGCAGCAAACGGCCGCTCGTGCAAAAATTAAGGGCGACAACCAAACACCTTGCATACTGGAGCGACAGACTGAAGCCTGAGACCCCGTTTTCCATCCGGCTCCTCAACCTCGAAACTCCCTCAACTTTACCTCAACCCCATTAACCCCCCCACCCCCGCCAGGCTTAGAGCCTTAAGCCCAAAGCCCAACGTGTCATGTTTGGTCAGGCGTCTGGCGTTCCCGCCCCCGCCCCCCCCGGTCGGGGCCCTTGGACCTGCACGTACTCCTCGTTTCCTTAACCTTAACTTGTGCTTTACCCATAGTCCCCTAAGTAGTTCCCTTTTGGGATTACCTTATAGGATTCTACATATAAACCACAAAAAGGAACTACTTAGGGGCCTATGGGTAAACACTACACCCGACCCTAAACCCCGCCGAAATGCAGGCACTAAGCCGAAAGAGGAACAGAAGCCATCAACCCTGAAGAACCTACACCCCAAACCCTCGCTCAGCCCTTGTCGACTCGAAGCCTTACTTTTTAACCCTAAACCCTAAACTCAAAAGCTGAAGCTAAGCCTTAAACCCCGCAAACTCCACGTCCCCCGGAGTGCTTACCGAAGCCTCGGAAACCACGATCATATTATACAAGCTTATACAATTACAACACTGTATAAAATATATGATGTTCTATGCTACTGTATCATAGTCATTATATAAACGATATCTGCTACCTGCCTCACCCTGCATTCGCTGCACGAGGAGTTTCCCAAGCCTGCAGCAGGAAGCAGGAAGAGCACCGGGGCAGGAGGTTTAGGATTTAGGGTGTGCCTAGACCCGCCAGTTACCCAGTTGAGAATGCACACAGTCGGGATCTCTGGCCCGAAATCCACACAACGCATGCTAACCGACCCAGACATTCAACCTAATCCATAGCCTACAGCTTAAAATGAAGCTTGCAATGAAGCTTGCTCCCTCTACACGTCACAAACCCTACCTTGACTTGACCCACCGTAGCCTGCCGGTTGTAAGGTCCCAGTAAATTCCATACGAGGGTTTGTGATAAGGACTTTGGCAGTTGAAGCCCTATAAACCCTAAGGTACATCTAACACTGGCCTGCCTGGGCAGCCGGAGAACGGCAAAGGCGCAGAGGAACATCTTGGTACGGCTCGGCTCGGACCCTCAGCCCTGGACCCTAAGCCTTTAACGGCATTTTATAACCTAGCGAGGTTAAGTGGCCTTGTTGCTGGAACAGGGTTCAGGGAGTACATTTTACTATTACTAGAGCTATATCAGGGACTACAAGGGGGTAGTATTGCCGATGAGTCCGCCCCCATACATAGTAGGTTTCGGCTTTTCGGGGTTGTGTGGTTAAGGCTACGGGCTTGTACCATCATTTCTTGCAACCGCAAGCAGAGCCTACATGTCACACGATGTGAGTCTAGCTTGGGATTTGAGTGTGTAAGGCGGCTTTCGAACATGTAGTTAAGTGATCCCGAACTCATCCAGGCATGCTTGGGGGCTAATAGGCGGATACAGACGATACCACTTTGCACACATGCTATGCCAGTCACAAACTACCTATAAAGCCCCCTGCAAGCACAGACCCGGCACCTGCTTTGCTTGTTTCCAATTGAGACCCATCCAAAGCTGATTCTATCTGCCAACTGTCAAGGCCCCTGTCTAATCAAACTTAACGAAGCAGAATATATGGTCCATATATAGGGTGTTGGGGTATAGCATACTAACTATAATGATAATGAGCAGCCCCAGCATCGTTTTGCTACGCAATGGTTAGCCCCCTATAGTATTTGCACTAGGGTTTAATGTACCTGGGAAACAGAAATCCCCATCCTGGTCTTCCGTTAAGAAGCATCCTTCTGTATTCAATGGTGATATTGATCCACTTTCGGCGGCTCCAAAATCCAAAGACGATGCCCCAAAGACCTTCCGCCAGGAACACTGGCCTTAAATCCTGAACCCTTTCTGCCGCCCCCCCCCCCCCCCCCCACCGAACACTAGCTTGAGAAACGGATTGAGAAACGGACTCCAGGCTACGAAACTTCGAAGCCACCCTCCAGGGCTTTAGCGGTTACGGTGTTGGTGCTTATGTTTTTTTGTTGGCGGTTTACGGGTTTAGGGGTTTTACGGTTTAGG